GGGGGGGGGGGGGGGGGGGGGGGGGGACAGAAACAGAGAGAGTAAGAAGAGTAGGAGAGAATGGTGTAATAACTACGGTAGAGCGACACAAACGGAGGCTGTCTCCCAACACCGCTTTTGCGAGGGAGGTGACAGACGTAGACATGAACAGCCATGTGGGGAGACAAAGGGAGAACGGACGCTGGCACGTGAATGCCTATGTAGATGTTTTGGAACCTGGTACTGTAGAGAGGCATCACACACATGTTGCTGACAACCATCCATCTTCGACAAACCGAAAGGCAATCGGGGACGTCGCTCTGCAAATCACAGCAGTGCGTATCGATGCGGCACTTTTGTCATCCTCCGTACATATTATATCTAGAGGCACCGAAACAGCGATTCCTCGCCGTTACAAGAGACACCAACAACGCCCGGACGGTCCCATTGACATAATTTAGCCTACCGCACACAGACACTTCTGAATATTTGCTTCGTTCTGAATAATGAAGGAGTGCGTGGGCCCCACAAAAATTGTGGCGTGACTGGGGCTACGACGCCACCAGCTCGCACCGCCGACGTCAAATCGCGCGCCACACTTGCGACGTCGAAACGTGGATCATGCAGCTATATTCGTTCGTACCAGTAACTCTTCATCGACGCCAATAAGGACACAGGTTTCCCTCGTTCGAAGGACACCCAGTGGATGGTAGATTTTACCCACTCTACCGGGGGTTGGCAGTTTCCTTGCATGAGAATTTGCAAGGAGAAGGTCTCGGAAGAGAGAGAGAGTGATTATGCCTAAAAGAGAGAGGGTAGGGAGTCCGATGACGTACCCATTCCCCATCTCCGTACGCGACTTCGGGAAGAGTCGTATCCATGACAGGGTTTCTTGCTGCTCAACAACCAGCAACGTACTCCGCTCAGATCGCATCTTGTCCTACTTTTTTAGGTGCACCAATGGTTACAACAACTCTACATCTGTCCTTCCCAGCTAGACTTTATGTTTTTAACTCTTTGGCTGGCTCAGGAAAGTGGCGAGCGGACAACAGCGATCCTGTTGGAATATCGCTGTTAGGCATGGGGGGGAGTACCCCCTGGTCACACCCCGATCGTGCCAGAACGAGGAACTACACCGTCTGCTGGCCAAACACAGGTCAGTATTATGAGCCCATTCACAAACCCTCTGCAGGTATCTAAAATTCAGGGCGTTCTGCGTCGTGTTGGCCGCACACGAGCCGAAAACGTCAACCCTGCCACATTGCTCTGCTGACGTTCTCGCCTTTGGGCCGAAAAGAGCCGTTTTTGTGCCTGCTGCATGTGTGAACAGTTCAGAACGCGCGCCAGAGAGAGGCCTACAGCCGTCGACATCCACAAACTCCAGCCAATGACGTGTTGTCATACTCATACCCCCTGCTCGCGTACCAGAAACAGAGCGTATTATCCAGTTTTGATGGCACACGGCCTGCAAACGTGAACCAAAGTGCCTTGCGGTGTTGACATTTTGGTCTTTCTTCTTGCTCCGCCGCGTGTTTGCTCCGTGTGTCACCCGCTACCAGTCAACAACGCGTGCCAGGGAGAGGCCTTTGGCCGACGACATCCACAAACAGCAGCTAGTGGCGTGTGGTCATACACATACCCTCTGCGCGCGTCCCAGAAACAGAGCGTATTGTCCAGTTCTGATTGCACACGGCCTGCAAACGTGAACCAAAGCTTGTTGCGGTGTTGACTTTTTCGGACGTTGCCTTTCTTTTCTGCTGCTTGCTCCGAGTCGAGTGTGATCAGTGTACAACGCATGCCATCAGAGAGAGGCCTTTGGCCCACGACATCCACAAACTGCAGCCACTGGAGTGCGATGATACACATGCCCTCTGCAGGCGACCCATAAACAAGGCGCTCGGTGTCTTGTTGGTCACACACGAGCCAAATCCGTGTACTGAAGCATGTTGTGACTCACAGCAGCAGGAATCAGCCTCTTTTCTCCCTTCAGAAAAAAATATACCTCGAGGAACCGTGAGACGGTCGCTTGGATCTCGATAGCTTTTTCCGTGCAGGCGACCTCCCCGACCGAGAGAAAAATATATATCTCCGAAATAATCAAGCCGTAATAAGAAACCGCCTTAGGCGGTTTCTTACGGTTTGAAAAATTCCAGTTGAAATTTAAAATTTTCAATTCCCAGATCCAACTCGGAAAATCTCACTCAAAAATAGGGCAGCCTTCTTACGGATCGACGGAATTGGAAACGCTATAAACAGGGGGGG